ATTAAAACCCACATACAAGACCGATTTAAACTGGAATGGTTATCTTCCTTTGAATATTCGAGTAAGGTTTTTTTAAATTGACCAAAACTGTACATGAACATGAAATTGACCTAAATTCATCTATTGATAATAAATATCAAAATATAATATGACAGTTTCGATGTGGTATGCTTAAAGGCAAAGTAAAGTGTCATTATTTTGTTGCAAACTAGTCTCGACACCAACAAGGCTGAACGTATTATTTTCCAACACAGAATAGTGGCCCTTGGGGGTTGGTAAAATAGCTTTATTTAACATCTGCTACCACCGAAGTGATAACACTATGCTATCAAGCACATGTTTAAAGCGATAATGTCATATTTTTAAAATGTATTAAAATAGAGCCTTAAAATAGATGGTTTCTATAAACAGTCCTACTTTGTTAAAGAATAATCCTATTAATCCTATAATTCACTATTGCCAGTTGAGAAATTGGTAAAAATATCATTTTCAACTTCAAATTCAAACGTTTGAAGATAACTATTCCATGGGGGAATAGAAAAACAAGGGAGGTAATTGTGTTAGTATTTCCGGGGTGAATGATTTTTAAGTGAGAGAATGATACCTATGATCGTATCATAGTGAGCCGACAACCTATTGACTTTCTTAGAAAATATGAAATTCTCGCTTTAATATCAGGTTGCAGACCGAAATAAAGAACGAACTAAAATAATGAGACAAATTTCCTACCCAGTTTTATCCATAAACTAGACAAGGAGTTGACAGAATATTTTTAAAAAAATTGTCGACGGAACATACAATTTGGAGTATGCCCTGGATAAGGAAAACAATTATCAGAAATAATTTTAATTTAGCATCAACCAAAAGGGAGGACAATTGCGCTTATGATCTATTCATGTCCAGCATGGAGATTGGATCCATGTGTGACTAACCTCGTGGCTTTTTTTCTGGGCTTCCCGGGCAAGCGATATTTTAAAATAAAGATACACGATATTTTAGTTCCGGAATGAAATAGTTTTATGCTATATAATATTCAAAATACCCATAGACTCTAATTACTGGCTAATCGAGCGCAATACATTCAGGCCCTGCAAAAAGTTTCGACCCCCCTGTGAAAAGATTTTCGACCATAAAAAAATAGATATGCATTGTCGATCAATTTTACAGCACCCCTGAGAACACTTCTCGCCCCCCTCGTTGCTCTGAGCTGGTTACGGCCATGAATACATTTTGCACGAGAAATCCTTAAAAACAACACTGTAAGAAGTACTTTGTACGACTTGTAAAAAATCTTAATAATAAATTTGTTGCCCAATTTGGTTTGGGTTGCTCTAGGCTGTCGTGTCTTTATTGAAGAACATGGATTGATTTAAGATTCAAATTCATCTTTTGAATCTTTTGAGCAGTGCAGTGTTCCGGCATTGTCGTGACCAGTGCGAGGCTGTAAAACAAAAGTGGATTCCATGACAATGAGAATGCACTGGAAGGTTGTAAGATTGTCTGGTATGTTGAAAATATCCCGTTTGCAATCGTGCGAGAGAATTAACCAAACCATGACTTAGCCCCCGTTTTACGGAATGGTTAGACTGACGTTCCTGAGTGTTTAAGTCAGTCTGTATTCGCGTTGTGAGTTTACTTTGGGTCGTCTTGGTCGTGGTCGATCCTGGAGAAGATTACTCTGTGGGGGTTGGATGGCCGAATGGTTAGCACGTGCGTGCTGTATCATAAGGCCTGTCATTGAGTCAACTGGCGTGGTTTCGAATCCCCGGTTGTACGTGACAAGGAGTAGGGTCGCCTGTCCAACCTCGTGGGTTTTCTCCGGGTCCTCCGGTTTCCTCCCACTGCTAAAGACCCCTACGCGCAAGCGAAATATTGAAATAAAATTAAACCATATGTTAGTCCCGAAATGACCTAGTTTGTGGCGACTGGACTTTAAACCCCATTTCTCTCTCTCTCGATCAATGTTTAGGAACCAGACGGCTGATAACTGTTTGATAGAAGGATTTTCCTGCTGAAAGTAGACCAAGTATAAGCCATCTTACACATCTGACAATCTCCATTGCACGATCTTTGTAAACAACAAATTCATATTGCAAGAAATCGATTTTAAAAACCCTACATATACCCTCTTCGTATATACTTAATTTGAAAAACGTGAGGGAGGGTGTTTGCGTATGCCCGTTGTTTGGTGGTGGAGCATTGTAGTTAAATGATCAGTCATCTGTATGTAAGATCATTATTGTTAAAATCATCATTAATTCTGCAGTATTTGAGACATAATTTGGTTCATTTTGTCAGTAGGTGTTTAACCAGGTGTATATATAATTCTACATGTATACTGTATATATGAATAGGATATTAACCTACCCGAGGTTGATATGATAGAGAACACGCAGGCGAAGCCCAAGTGTTCTCTATCATATCAATCCAAGGGAGAGAAGGTTTTTATCCGACATATACAACACCATTCACCCTTAAATTTAATTGGCTCTTCTATTAAAAGGCAACAATGATTGGATAATTGCTCGATAGTTTCCGCCAAAAAGCGAAAATTACCGAAGTAATCACGTGCATGTACGTGCATGTTTTTGTTTATACGTCGCCATGTTGGAGTGATGGAATTGAAAGCAAAAACAAAATGGATAATAATACGAAGTCAGACGAATAATCAATCATTTTTATCCAACATATTAACGATGTAATGGATGTGAATGCAAATATCGATGAGTATCTATCCAAAGCCTGAAGAAAGTTTGGATCAAAAGGCAATCTTTTCCGATAATTCTGACAGTGAACCGTGATTGAAGGTTTTCGGTATGTTCAGAGAAAGATTTGACCGACTGTTTTAAGTCATCCTCGGTATCCCTAGTGTTTTCATTCCGTTCTACTCCACTATACACTGGGTTAATCCATAGGGTTTCCACGATTTCAAATTATCTGCCATGGCCTTGATTGTAGATAAGGTCTACGAACCAATCAAGAAACAGTTTACAAACCAGTCGTTTCGCCTTCGATTTTATAAGGGTAATTAACCAAATTCATGTCCATTTATTGAATGATTTATGTAAATAATGTATTTATTTCTAATTCATTTATAATTAATTTTATTATCAAAATCTGTAGTATGTTTCGCCGATTTCAAATATGTATAACATGTATATGTTTGACTTTTATTATTATTATTACTATTCGGTCTTTGTGTGAAATGTTTCATTTTGTTATGTTTATTATTATTGAACTTATACTTGGCAATTTCGTCAGGTGTTCATTAATTTCATGTTATATAATTTGTTGTTAGTAAGTACGCATTTAGAGTAATTTGAACTTCTCTCATTTAGGCTAACTCATAAACTTGTCCGATGAGAGTTACTTCCCTTTGCCAACTTCCTTTTCAATTAACGATGCATGGGATTGGTCGATAAAAATAGCGCAATCATCAAGGGCGAATAGTTTGAAAACGTGTCTCCCTCATAGATTAACCCAGGGGTTAGTCGAGTAGAACGAAATGAAACCACTGGGGATACCGAGGATGGTTTTAAGTGGACTGTACCCAAAAATACTTTACAAAGGAACTCTTGGGCGATAAATACTTTCAGGTCTTGAAGTGTTTGGAGAAATAATCGAAATATGGACGGAAAGAAAATTCTGAAAGATATCTTAGACATGGTGTATGGATGACCGATTTAAATATGCCGATAAGTACGCCGTCTATTTCGGTCCTGGATGCTACAAACTGTACCATAACAATTTTTAATTGTCAAATGAATACAAATTTATTTCTGTGTTTTTTGTATTATTTCGATCATCTACGTCATCAGCGATTGATATGAACCGAATATATCGACCTGAGATGACGTCATTAGCGTTTGATATGAAATATTAACCTGTCATGACGACATCAACGGTTGATATGAACCGAATATATCAAACTATGATGACGTCATGACAGATTGTTAGGAGATATGGACATCAAAGAAAAAACTACCGCCAGTTGTATATCTATACCTAGTGTCTTTTACATGTTTCTTGTGCCTGGTCGTTCGAATGGTGTGAAAAATCAGGGTTCACAGTTAGTACATTGGCGTGCATGTAACCGATCGCGAGCCGTTGGAAGTTGAGATTTCTCACATTCGAAATACTTGGGTGGTCAAAACCCTATACTTTTCTAACCAATATGCTTTTTGGTGGGAGTATTTGGCCAATTTGTCTTTAGTCAGGATTATTGGCAGGGGCATGATAAAGAAATAAAACGAAATGGTTTTAAACCGTCCTACTTTTCTGCGCCAACTGGGGTAATGAAGATGGGCATACTGCCATATGTAATGTGTTGTGCTATGACGGGAATTTTACCCAGACAGCGGCGTTGCAGCCTACTCTTGGTCAATTTCAACTGCCATTGGTTAAATTCTTTTACGTTTTTCGCAACATTCCAACAACTACACCCTGTTCAATTCCAGGCCCTCTGCTCTGCACCATCGTGGCTCCCACAAGCCGACTGGGCTGATGAAGACGGTCACACGCGATACACTGTGCTATGGTGTCCGTAGCTAGTTAGGGGCGGGGGAGGGGGGCAAAAGGGGGCAGCTGCCTCCCTTGGACCAAATCTGGTCCTTTCCATTGGACGTAATACGATACCAACGACCAACGTGCCCCTCTGCCCCCCCCCACCCCCAACCTGCTAGCTACGAGCCCGAATGAGGCAAATTGTGCTCGGACAGCGGCAGTACGGCCTACTCTTAGATCGAATTCAAACTGTCATGGGTTCTTTTACATGCAATGTGTACACGAGACCTGGGTTTTTCCTCCCATCCGAACGACTTTACATGTACGTTGTCCGTTGCAAGGCCTTCGGTCCTGCACCGCTAAAAGGAAGGAACCACCCCGAAAAATCCCAATGAACTTGCTCGCTCAAAACCGGGGTCAAACACGGGAACTTTAGGTCACTCCCTGGGCCACCGTGGCTGCCACATCCAATATATAAACACTACATAATTCACATATAGAAAAATAAATATATTTTAACAAATGAACAACATCGAACTGCCGATATCCACCATGACGTCATTATCTTGTGGACACTTTTTAGAATGGCACATCATCATGACAACCAATAGTAACCAAGTGTTATATTTTCAGAGATTTAAATTCCATTGGTGACATTTTGTCTATCATACTAGATAATATTCATGTTTGACGCGCATGTTTATACGCATGTGCATTATGGATAAAAACCTAAATAGCCGACATACTGTTTTATTCATACCACTCTTTGAAATCGGAATCCGAATCATCTCTTTCGAAGAGACCGAATAGTGAAAAGCATTTAGATGGAATTCGATCTTTCAACAGCAAGAAATCTTGCAATGCGATAGGTAGATTTAAATTTGTAACTTTTTCTTTTATTCCTAACCCTAACTGACCTCTGATTGTTCGCCGACAACTTGATTTCAAACTTAAATTATTACAAAAATGGTCGAAGAGTTTGATGTTTTCTACCGCGAATTGATGTTGTTTAATTTGATCGCGAGGAGCACCGCTCTCATAAAATACCTCAGCGTTCTGTACCCGGTCTGTTGTCATAAATATCGGAGCAATAGAACAATTGGCTGTCGGCAGATTTTTTAAGGAACAATTTTCTGTTATTAAAAACCATAACATAGGAAACGCGTCTTCGTCGCTAAATAATTTCGTAAACAAAGTGTCGCCATTTTGATTGGCAATATCGATAAACGGTAAGCAACCATTTTGTAATAAGAATTCTAACTCTTTATGTTGATAATCGAATTGGTAACTGATGTTGTTTGCAGTATAATACTGAAAGAAAGTCTGTCCCTTTACGTCTCTAAGATTTATGTCGGCACCAGCCTTCATCAGAATTTCCAATAATTCCAAATAATGCCGATCCTGTCCAAGTACCATCAACGCTGTTTGTCCTTGGTGATTCTGTGTATTTACTTCACAGCCAATGTTTACCAAGTATTTCAACAAATCTTGTTTCATATCGGAAGCGGCACTGATGAGGGGCGTGTCTCCATTCTTATCCTGCTGATTAATATCTACGCCGATTTCTAATAGATATTCCATTAGGGCTTCAGTGAAATTTTCGTGTTTGAGACAATGCAGTAGGTTTTCTTCACAGCTTCCAATTTTGTGGACCTCCAAACCGTTGTTCACTAAAAATTTTAGAAATTCAATGTCCGGAGTTGGATCAATCCAGTGCCATAAAATTACATCAGGATTGCTAGTAGCAAATGAAACGCCCTCCTTCACAAATATTTCCAAAAGTTCTTTACTTTTCATGGTATCATCATATGCACGTTCTAAAGAATAGTGACACGCCGATTTGCCAGATAAATCACAAGCATGAACATTAGCACCCAATGATATAAGCAGCTCAATCAGTTCCCCGTTTCTCTGTTGTGCAGCAACCATAAGAGGAGTCACGCCATCCTCATCAAAAAGGTTAACATCAGCGCCAGCTTCCAGTAACATCTTTATAATGATTTTTTCAACAGTCATGTCTTCTGATAATTGCCTTATAGATGCTCGAAGTGGCTCTCCATTCGGCTTATTCACATCGCAACCAGCCTTTAATAATTCTTTCAATATCTCCACACTTCGCCCAATGACAGCTAAAAGTACAGGTGTTTCACCACAACCTCCCGGCTCATTGACATCGGCGCCAAAATCTATCAAGTTTTTAACACATTCACGACTTACCTCGGGGTTCTTTTCACTGTATTTACAAAGTAAATGCAGCAATTTATGATCACCGTATACACGGGGATTTCTATTAGCCCCCTGTTGTAACAAGAAAAGAACAACATCTGGTAGATCCATTTCCGCAGCAAACAATAATGGTGTCGTTCGATTGTGGAGAAAAGCATCAAAGTCGGCACCAGCGTTTGTGAGAGCTTTAAGACAATCAAAATGTTCAGATCTTTTGTAGTAGCGAATACAACACCCTAAAGCATCCAGGCCGTCCCTTTTGTTTTTGTTGTTTATATAGCGTTTAACGTTAGAATCAAGGAGGACGTTTAAAGACCCCAGGTGTCCATGTCTGGCAGAAAGAGTTAATAGGGGTTCATCCTTGTTAGGATTCAGATCAATTCCTGGAACAGTCAGAAGATATTTCAAAACCTCAACTTTGTTAAACTCAACACATCTATATAAAGCATTCCACGGCTTACCTACTAAATGTTCAAGAAGCAAACCCTGGGAGTGCAGAAACTGGACTCCATCCACAAAATCCGACGCAATGGCGGCATTCATGAACTCCAAGTTCCTGTAAAGATTCAACGCACCTGCATCAAATACTAATTCTTTAGTGAACACAAGATTAACAATTGGAAGATTTTTATTTGTCAGCGCATCTACACAACATGCTGTTTTTAAAGCCTTTAATTTGTCCACTGGGGCATCTGGCGCAATTGACTGATTCATTAGCTCCTTCACCCCGTTCTCATCATTTGCTTTCACTGCCGATTTTAATCTGGAAAAGAAAAAAGGAATTTAAAAAGTGCGTATAAATGTATAATCTTAATCTTTGTCTACGACGATACGGGAAAGACGGTAATCAGGGCATATGTCCGTCTTCATTAGCCCGACTGGTGTAGAAAAGTAAGAAGTTAAACCCCATTTGAGAGATGATTTACTCAAAATCCGAACACTCATCTACTCAAACATACTTTATGCAATTAGGCCTGAAATGTTATCTAAATTATTAATTAGACATTAATTAACTGATCCGGAACATAATTAACTCTCGATGCCATCGCTAGCCTGCGTATTTACTGAATTTGAATACATTTTGTGATGGATGATTTAACGACAAAATGGATAATCGAGACCTTAGTAATGATGATCGAGGCCAGGCCTAAAATTCAATCGCTAATATCTCGGTTCATGGTCGTGCAATTTGACTGAAATTTTCAGCATGTTCTCTTTACGTTATCTTGTTTTAAATGTCAGCTCTTTATGTAATCTCCCATAATGGCCCTTTAAACTAAACAAAATTAATCAGAGCCGGGTTCAGATTTTGTAGGCGCCATTACTACGGCTAAATTTATTTGTTGCGGCCAGCTAAATTCCTGTGATGGTCGCTGAGATGTAAATAAAGGTAGGGCATGTGATTGTTGGTGAGATTGTGGGTTAGGGTTAGGGTAAGCATTGGGGCTACGTCAAGGGTTAGGGTTAGGGTTTGGATTAGCGTTAGCCCTGTTTAAATCTCGTGACATATGACGAAAAAGTGAGCTGGCCTTATCAGGCAAAACATGATTTGACATCCTTTGTTGAAACTCAGTACTGTTATCCTCAACTATGGAGGTATATTAGATTCAAAATTCTAAATTTGTTAATGTCGTGCTATCGTCTAATTTCTAACTTATATTCATGTAATTTCTAAATTAAGACAATGTATAATCCAGTTTCTTTATTTGTTCAACATAAATTTTAATTTTATTTCATCATCATTCTATTAGGACAAATTATGTCTTCTTCGTTGACGCTTTACATAGTTGGCATGAACGTCCAACAGTTTTAAAATGTTGACATTTGTACATAGCAACCACCATTATGAATTCGTTTGGTGTCGCCACTGCCTGCTCAGTTTCGTGATTGAGCACTTGATCGGGACCATGAATGCGTTGACATAAACAAGAGAGAGAGAGAGAGAGAGGGAGAGAGAGACATGGGTTGACATAAACAAGAGAGAGAGGGAGGGAGGGAGGGAGAGAGAGAGAGACATGCGTTGGCATAAACAAGAGAGGGAGAGAGAGAGGGAGAGATGGAGTTTAACGTCCACTTGACACAAACTAGGTAATTTCAGGAGTAACACATAGTTCAATTTTATTTCAATAATTCGCTTGCGCGTAGGGGTGTTTAGCAGTGGGGAGAAACCGGAGATAACCCACGAGGTTGGACAGGGGACCCTACTCCTTGTTACGTAGAACAGGCGAATCGAAACCAAGGTTTCTCAATGACAGACCGTATGATACATCGCGCATTTGCTAACCATTTGGCCACCCACCCCCCACGTTGATATAAACGACTCGCTATTCTAATATAAAGGCATTGTCACCTGTGGTACGCAGGTATAATATTGTTTGAATTACTCCGCTTCAGTGTACCACCCGATATATACATTACGTTCAGTATTCATAAATGAAATAAATACCCGCTACTACCGCAAAATCGGACGTAGACCTCTATTTCAATTTAGTCGGGGAGGGACTAAGCCGAGGCTCCTCCATGGCGTGTAACCCCTATAATCTTATAATCCGGTCGTGTGTGTATTCATGAATGACTATAAATAAAATGGTCGACCACACGGTGAAAGCGGACGTTAGACACTAAGAACAACAACGCGGTTAATAATCATTTGTGCACTCACCTTGATGAGAAGTCGTCTAGTGACAGCTCCATCTTGTTTTCTTCGTCACAAACCTTTTTATAAGCAGTATACATTTACACGTATCCTCTTTCATCACATATCTGACCTAGTCATGATTTTCTTGTTTAAGAGGCGTGTCATTTGTAGTAGTAATAATACAACTAAGGTGATATATGTTTAGTAACACGTCACGTGGTATGATCTATATATGTGGAAGACCGGTTATTTTATATTGAATGGAAGGTGTATTGATTGATCGTTCTGTAGGCTACTGGTGACACGCCTACGTCACGGTCCGATGGCGCACGGAACTGGCAGGCAATTAATTAGCCGCCGTATTTAAATTTGAATTTACTGAATAACATATTGCCGGCTATATACCCAACACATGGTAACAATCCTAAAAGTGTCCGTCCATTCTGAATTAAACCGTTTTCACATACCATGAGGAACTTATTAATGGCAATAAAACAAAATTACCACAATTTAACTCCCCAAAATTGAATCAACACAAGCCCTCAATAATTTGAGGATAATACGCATATGTTCAGTAACTGAAAGAAAACAGAGAGAGAGAGAGATAGAAATGGGGTTTAACGTCCACTCGACACAAACTAGGTCATTTCTGGACTAACACATGGTTCAATTTTATCTCAATAATTCGCTTGCGCGCAGGGGTCTTTAGCTGTGGGAGGAAACCGGAGGACCCGGAGAAAACCCACGACGTTGTACAGGCGACCATACTCCTTGTCACGTACAACCAGGGAATCGAAACCCCGCCAGTTGACACAATGACAGGCGGTATGATACAGCGCGCACGTGCTATCCATTCGGCCATCCAACCCCGCAGAAAACATTGAATCCAGGGAGGAAGTGTGATATGACTCCCTGAAGCAGGACTCATAAGTCAGTGGAAGGGCCCCAAGTCCAAGAAAAGGGTCCAAAAGTACAAGAAAAGGGGAACCGAAGAGAAGCAAATTCCTCTGTGTGTCCAGTAAGGGGGCCTTTGACTTCATAACAAGGTTCTCTGCCCCTGTGCCCAGTAGTACGGTCAATTTGTTGTTTTCAACGCACCGTGTGCTGAATTCCGTGTCTGGATATCCGTTAGCTATGATGGGTTCATGCTGAGAATAATATCTAGGTCCCTTGTACACATTGACGTGCATGTGGTAACCCTTGACAGTTGGAGTTTCATATAAAAAAATAGTAGTGGCTCTACCTGGGCAAAATTTCCCTCCTAGCATACTGTATTTATTAGCCCAGTCAGAGCAGAACAGTAGGACGTTAAACCTCATTTCATTTCATTTCAATACGTTCCAATGTCAGATCCAGACTAAGATGTTGTCGTCCCTGGGCTACAGGTAATATTTTCAATAATCTTTATATGTTCCAGAATATACTCCGACTCTAAAATTGCTTGACATTTCTTCAATTTTTAATGCAAATGGCCAAAACTTGGTGACATACTTGGAATTGTCATCCCATTGCTCTCTTAAAGGACAATATTGGTGTCATTCATAATTACATATGTGATAGAACTGGTTAAATACATTCCAAATATAATTTTAATACAGGGATCATTGCTACGAGAGATGTGTAACAAGCGCGTGAAGAAAAGGGGAAGTGACGCCAAACACGAGTTATCCTTCTATGTATCTGACTGACTTTTATCTAATGACAGCCAATTCTTTTTTTCAATTGTCAGATATCCTCTCACCGTCTCATATAATAGCTTTTCATCTTCAGCTGAATTATCCGTGAAATGAAATTCGATCGCGTGTCTGTTATCGCTTGTTGCTACAATCAGTTATATAGTAGGATAACTTGTGTTTGTCGTCACTTCCCGTTCTTCACGTGCTTGTTACACATCTCCCGTAGCAATGATCTCTGTGTTAAAGTTATATTTGGGATGTATTTAACCAGTTCTATCACATATTTTATAATGACTGACACCAATATTGTCCTTTAACACCTACATATAGGACCCCAAGATCAAATTCCTGGGTAAACAACCGTGGGGAGCCCATTTCCCCTGGGATCTAAATGGATACACTAAGTCAAAGGATCTTATGACCGAACCGATAGTAACACATGGAATGAAAAGGGGTTTAAGGTCCCCCTGTACGGTATAATGGAGGTTTAGTCTGGACAGTGGGGCTATGGACTACAGTTATTTCGCTTTACAATGGTGGAGTTTCTTTTACATGTACGCCAATATGAACACTGAACCTTCCGAATGACTAGACACTGTCCCGGCCAGCCCCTGTGTCCTGCATCACTGAGACAAGCAAACTATGAGGGGAAGGAATCTCCGACCACCTGGTTGGTGAGGCATCACCTTACTCAAAAAGCTCTGCCCCCCCCCCCCACAAAAAAAATAGTAATTTACCCTGCTATATTGTAGGATGTGCAAAATAACTCCACACAAACTAGGCGATTTCAGGAGACTAAGATATGATTCAATTTTATTGAACATTAGCAGTGTGTGGAAACCAGAGTACTCAGAGAAAACCCATGAGGTTAGATGACCTTGTAACTGAAAAGCATGAAATAAAAACCATGCCACTGGTCTCAATGAAATACCTTTTCATCTAAAGCGTGCATGTTAAACCATTCCCACACACAGATTACCCATTAGGACTGATAGTAATAATTTAATACATTCGATTTACCATTAGGACTGATGAAGATAAATTTGATAACCATTAGGAAATGAAATGAAATAGGGTTTAACGTCCTACTGTTTTGCTCCAAACTGGGCGAATGAAGACGGGCATACGCCATACAGTGTGCTATGAGGGAAATTTTGCCCGGACAGCGGCACTACCGCCTACTCTTATATCGAATTCCAACTGTCAAGGGATCTTTTATGTGCACGCCAATATGTACACGGGACCTCGGCTTGTTCTTGTCAGGCCCTCTGTCCTGCATCACCGACAAGGGGGAAACACGTCGGAAAATCTGGGTGAACTTTCTCGGCCAATGCAGGGATCGAACACCCGATCTCCAGGATAGCGAGCCACCGTCTTACCCACTTAGCCACCGTAACCATTAGGACTGTTGGTACTAAATTTGATTAGCCATTAGGAATGGTGGAACTAATGTTAATGAACCACCAGGATTGACAGAACTGAATTTAATAATTATAAACAATTTTACATTGCATTTTAGTTATGGACAATCATTTACAAAGGTATTCCATAAATAGAATCATCCATGTAATCTTGAACTCAAGGGGTTCACCATCACACTGTTGCTAGAGTCCAGTGACTTCACCCATGTTACAGTGAAACACTGGAGCTTCATCACCATCACACTACTGCTGAACTCCACTGACTTCACCCATTTTATAGTGAAACACAGGAGCTGCATCACTATCACACTGACTTTACTCATGTTATAGTGAAACACAGGAGCTTCATCATCATAACACTGTTGATAAAGTCTACTGACTTCACTCATTTTATAGTGAAGCACACGAGATTCATCAACATAACACTGTTCATAAAGTCCACTGACTTCACCCATTTCATAGTGAAGCACAAGAGCTTCATCACAATAACACTGTTGTTGAAGTCCACTGACTTTTCCTATGTTATAGTAAAACACAGAAGCTTCATCACCATCACACTGTCTACTGACTTCTCCTATATAGTAAAACACAGGCACTTTCCTTTTCTGGTAACACTGTTGGGTTCACACAATACAAATAGGGATTCTTATTTAATTCAGGGAGCAACAGTGACTCACCAACCAGTGTTAACAGAGAATGTCCCTCAGGATTTTCTGCTGTTGCTTCCCCATGTCAGTGGTGCAGGAAAGATGTCCCGTGTACATGTTGGCTTACACGCAACAGAACTATCAACAGTTGGAACTGGAAATAAGAGTAGACTGCTGCACCACTGCCAGAACAAAATTCCCTCATACACACTGTATTGCATGCTTGTCTTCATTAAACCCCATTTTATTTATTTACTTCATCAAGCAGAGATACATGTACCTCTAATAGTACATGTATATCAAAGTATGATGAGTTTCTAAATTTTTAAAATATAATTTTTTTTATTTATTAATCACTGACTTAACTTGGCCTGTTCTTTTGCCAATTTACGTTCTAAAAATCGTCTCCTTGCCTCACTTTCAACATCTCTTGTGGTCTTACGGTTATATTTTTGTTCCGTTTTATTTTTATCAGTGTTGTCTATTGTCACATTTTCAGAATTCACATCAGCTTCTAATCTTTTAACTTTATTGTCTCTAGCTACACTTGGAGATTCGTCAGGATTTCTTGAACTTTCTTTCGACCTTGACCTTTTCCTAGATTTATTACTTGGTTCTTCTTTTGATATGTGTTTTTGCCTATCTTTTGTCCTTGAATTAGACCTTTGTCTTGACCTTTCCTTTGACCTTGACCTTTTTCTTGACCGTTCATTAGATCTTGATCTGTTTTTTGGTTTATCATTAGATCTGGAACTTTTGTTTGACCTATCGTTAGACCTTGACCTGTGTCTTGATTTTTCTTTTGACACTGACCTTTTTCGGGATCTTTCATTAGATCTCGACCTTTTTCTTGACCTATCATTAGACCTTGACCTATGTCTTGACCTTTCTTTTGACACTGACCTTTTTCTGGACCTTTCATTTGATCTCGACCTTTTCCTTGACTTATCATTAGACCTTGACCTATATCTTGACCTTTCTTTTGACCTTGATCGGTGTCTATTTTTGTTAATATTGAGAGAACTCCTGTGTTTATGTCTGTCATCTGTTTCTTCTACTATCACTTTACTGAAAAGAAAAAAAACAAATGTTTGAAAAATTCAACATAGATAATACATCTTGAGTGCGAATTAGGATTGAAATGAAATGAAATGGGGTTTAATGTCCTACTGTTCTGCTCCGACTGGCGAATTAGGATTGATGCTACCAAATATAACAAGTTTAGAGAGAAATAGGGTTAAATGTCCACTCGACAAAAACTAAATCATTTCGGGAATAACATATGATTCAAATTTATTAGAATAATTTGCTTGTGCGTAGGGTCTTTAGAAGTAGGAGGACCTGGAGAAAAACCACAAGATTTGTCACATACTAGCAGGGATTTCAACCATTTGACTAAATGACAGATCTTATGAACCAACTGGCACACATTAAACCATTTGGTCCCCCCCCCCCCTTCTCATCTCCACCAATAACATGTTTGGAATAAATTTTATTACCCATTTGCACTGATGGTACTAGATTTGAGTACCCATTAGGACTAACGCACAGGCACTTGAAGGGATTAAAATAAAACTTCTTACTACTGCTTGACTAGATATTATAGTATATAAAAGGTATTTCAGCCGCCATCTTTGTTTTCACGTCTTCAAGGCATTTTAATCCCTTCAAGTGCCTGTGGACTAACGGTACTAAATCTGATTACCCATTAGCATTGGTGGGATTAAATTAATCACATATGTGCTGTTTATGACAGCATGTGTTAATATTTTGAAGTGGAAACTCCATTAAAAAAAAAATTATAAAATAAATTACCTTTCCTTCCCTGATGAACTGGAATCACTGCTTGAATCATCAGAATCGCCCACTTCAACTTCTGAATCATCTTTATCTAAATCTTCATATTTCCTGGAGAGAGAAAGACAAAACAGTGATGTTTAACACAAAACAAACTACAGATTCATAAAAGGCGGATCTTTACTCAACTCGGATAAAATCGTTTGGACCCTTTGATCCTGCAGGTTTTTCTTATTAAATTTCTATGCATAAGTCGGATTTCCTAAGTTGGATCTTTGCTCAACACGGATCAAAATGTTCGGTTCATTTGATCTAATTCCAGCTTTTTTATCCTTCGCCTAAGTCGGATCGGCAATATGTTCAGAATTTGATTAGGTATTCCAAGACATGGTGGATGACAGGGTCATAAATGGAGTAACGGAAATATCCGACCACAATTCAATGTCGGCATATAAATACTGCACAGCAATATGTCAACATAAGTACAGTTCCTGAATTTCGGTATGCTCATGGAACAAACCCAAGAGATAATTCTTACTTTTTATCAAAAGCTGGTAGTTCAGGCTTCACATCTTGTTCATCTGGTTTAACTTTAGTTTCATCAGTGGCTGTGGTCCCACCAGTCGTTTCACGATACAAATAACGATAAAATCCACTCATATCTTTCTGTTTCTTCACATCCAGTATATCTGATTAAATATACAAATACATTAAATATTATTATTATTATAGAAACAATACTCTACTTAAAGATACATTATGGGAGATAAGATAAAGAGATGGCAGTTCTCGCTATAATAGTTAAAAACTAGATAGTGTAAAGGTAATCCACTATGAGCCGAGAACGAAGCGGGTGAAGTTTTTGCATAGTCTCGGTCATCATTACTAAAATCATTAATATAAACAGCATAGTCTCGATTATCCACTGTTTTGATTTAATTATCAATGGCCGTTAAGCGGCATAAGAATCTAATCCAGCCAACATCGAAGGCTAGCCTTGACATCGAGAGTTTATTATGGTCTGGATAAGTTAATTAATGTCTAATTGATAATTAAGATAACATTTCAGGCCTAAAGAAAGACTTGTAATAAGCAGATTTTGCTCTTGCATAATGCATGTTTAATGCAGTCTAATAAATTGTTTACCTGCAGGGTTAATGGCACACTGATCCGCAGTGAATATTCGCTAGGCTGCGACAATCACTGATAAGGATGACATCGATGCGACTTAATGAGCCACAAATATTAACTTTTTTTCTCCCACAAATTAAATTCTAAAACATTTTTTTATGTATTAGAAAAATAAATAAAGACGTTTAAAGTATTTGTAGGTAAAAAGTATTTCCTAAATTAGTGTAAATGGGTATTAAAATGAGTAAAAGGCACCATTCTGCTCAAATCATTAACGTCTTATGTAAACAATGTATGCGCCATGATTGACACCGCGTGATATGACGTTATGTGTTGAAGCCGCCATCTTTTACAGAGATATTAGAAGACTTTCGTAATACTCTGTGAAACAAATTGGGTTAATGGTAGTAAACCAGGGCCTAAGCGACAGGGACGGAATGACGCGCTTTGCGTCATGGCTTTGACTTTTGTGCCCTGTTAAGTTTTTGCACTCCCTCGCAAATGGCAAAAAATCACACGGTTTCGACATTATAATCATAATGCTTAACCAGTGTCAAACATACTGTGGGTCTGATATACTAAAAATTTACTCCCCCTGACACACATATAAATATTGCTATTTGGGGGGGGGGCCCTAACGGGATCTTGTTCCTCATACAAACTCATGTGTCACCATGCCCCTGTAGTAGTCTACTGTTGTTTACTACATAAGATAATAAGCCCAAAGATCCCCGAATGTAAGGGGGGTTGGATGGCCGAATGGTTAGCATGTGCGCGCTGTATCATAAGGTCTGTCATTGAGTCAACTGTCGTGGTTTCGGCTCCCCGGTTGTATGTGACAAGGAGTAGGGTCGTCTGTCCAACCTCGTGGGTTTTCTCTGGGTCCTGAAGTTTCCTTCCACTGCTAAAGACCCCTACACGCAAGCGAATTATTGAAATAAAATTAAACCATATGTTAGTCCCGAAATGACCTAGTTTGTGTCGAGTGGACGTTAAACCCCATTTCTCTCTCTATCCCCTGAATGTAAGCTCAATCAAAAAAATAAGCGAATTACCTCCCTTCATTCCTGTCCATGTTATTTGTCAGTAAACTAAATTTTATTCATAGCCACCAGAAAATAAGTCCAAAACATGAAAGTATATTTACCCTCCATAGCTGCCTCTCGTCTTTCTTTCTCTTCCTCAGCTTGGATTTCCTCCATCTTCTTTTTATAAGCTGACGTGACAAATTCTTCCTTCCCAGCAAATTCTTCTCCTTCCTCCTCTCGTTCTTTCTGTACTTTACGCTCCACTCGTCTTTCTTGTTCACGTTTCCTCACCTCAGCTGCTTTTAATAATCCTGTTATATACTTGGCCTGGAACAGAAATTGAAAATAAAAAGAAATGAGCCCACCATTAACCATGTTGTTTACTACAATAAACCCTGTTGTTTACTACCATTAACCCATGTTGTTTACTACTATAAACCCTGTTTACAACCATTAACAATGTTCTTTACTACTATAAACCAAGTTTTCTACCATTAACCCTGTTGTTTACAACATTAACCCTGTTGTTTACAACCATCAACCCTATTGTTTACTAACATTAACCCTATTGTTTACTAACATAAAAGATACATTATGGGAGATTCGATAACGAGTTGGCAGTTCTCACTATAATAAATAAAAACTAGATAACGTAAAGGCAATTTGCTGAAAATTTTATTCAGATTGACCCACTATGAACCGAGCACTAAGCGAATAAAATTTCTGCCTAGCCTCGGTCATCATTACTAAAGTCAGTACGATAAACAGCATAGTCTCGATTATCCATTTAATCGTTTAATCAAGAAGGAAAGTTATGCAGTAAATCGGCTCACAATCCACTTAAGATCGTAGGCTAGCGATGCCATCTAGAGTTGATTATGGTCTGGATAAGTTAATTAATGTCTAATTAATAATTTTGATAACATTTCAGGCCTAAAGAAAGACCTGCAATAGACAGATTTAGCTCTTGCATAATGTATGTTTAACCCTATTGTTTACTAACAATAACCCTGTTGTTTACTACCATTAACTATGTTGTTAACTATCATAAACTCTCTTGTTTACTAACATTAACCCTGTTGTTTACTAACATTAACCCTGTTGTTTACTAACATTAACCCTGTTATTTACCTTTTTATCCTGTTTTTTCTCTGGATTAGCTGTTTTCTTATTTTTCTCTGCCTGCATATCATCATAAAGACTATCATATTCATACACTGAGGGATCTTCTGATAAAGCTTTGTCGATTGCTATCTGGGTCTGAATAATTGCAACGAATAGAAAAACTTGATAACAACGTCAAAATTGGCACAAACTTTTTGATTTGGATAAAATTATAACTGTGGATTTAATTATTTGGGGATCCGAATCTGTCAAATGAAGACATACTACACCATACAGTGTGCTGTGAGTGAATTTTGCTGGACAGCACTGTTTTCCGCATACTTTTTCATCAAATTTTAACTGATCAGATTTTTAAGTGGATAATGACATGCATACAGGAACATTAGTTTGTCGTCTGTTCCCAATGGAAAGATGGTCAAACTTACTATTCAGAAACAATATATGAAGGGCTTTCAGTTAAAACTGTTAGGCAGCTGGCATTTGTGTCAAGCAAGTTTTAGCATTATCTCATTCGATTGCTTAATCTATATAAATAAAATCAAAGATGCCTGTGTGTATGTTCGCCCATCACGCTTCATCCCCACGATCCACCCCAACATATGTGGTTTTAAATTAACCAGAAATGACCCTGTGAAAGTTTTAAGCCATGATTTGGTTCAATTTGGGCCCCAGGGTGAAGCCATGTATCCTGTGAGTATATTTATAAAACCTATAAGTTTAATTATATTTACAATCTGATTAAAACACAGATCCTATTCCTTTCGCTTTTTATAGTTTCGTTTACTACACTAGGATCTGGAAGAGTTGTTATCTAGCCCGCGTTTTGTTAGGGATTAGCCAATGAAACGATCTGTTACAGAGAGATTTTGGCGTAAGGTGCAAGGAACTGTGGGTACACCACTAAAAACATAAAGGCTGATTGATTAATCAATGTCTGGCATCATAAGGTCAAAAGTCGCTCATATGACACCTGATTCAACCTTCCACTACAACTGGGCAGATCTTCATGTAGTGAAGGCTATGAAAGTATAAAAAAAAAAAACGAAATGAAATATAGATCTGTAATTTAATTGTATTTATAATTTATAAGGTTAAATTCTTTGAAATTCTAATTTTATGGCATTTAAATTTTGACAGGTCATTTTGACCCCCAGTCAGTAAAGACTTGTAAATATTACTAAAATTAGAGACCCATGAAAATGCTGAACGAGATATTTTGGCAGAATAAGGCACAAATAGTAATCACCTGTTTTTTCACTTTCTTCTGATTTACAGTGGGTTTTCTCGGTACAACAATTCCGTCCTTTTCCTGAAAATAAAAATAATGATTTATTTTGTGTACCCGGTATACAATGTATATGATTTTAAAAAGTTTCCAGACAAGTAAACTAAGCCTTCTAACAGCTAAGTTGTATGTGTTGTACTTTAAATGTGACTCTATACAGAGAAATCTTGACACCTCAGAGCTGATGCATGATAATGTATTTCAATAAAGTTAAAGTTCACAGACTCTCAATATAGCTAAACAAGTTTGAATAGAGGAAGAGAGAAATTAGGATTAATGTCCACTCAAGATAAACATGGTCATTTTGGGACTAACATATGGTTGAATTTTATTTCAATAATTCGCTTGAACGGTCTTTAGCTGTACAAGCAGGGAATCGAAACCATACCACTTGACTCTATGACAGACTTTGTGAACTAACGTATACACTTTAATTAAAACATTTCAGTCATACAACACTCCTAAGTATGACCTGTTGAGTGATGAATACCCAGATAAACCTGCAGGGGAATAGTACTAAACAACATAGCAAAATCTTAGAACAATGGCGTCGTAACAGTAAATGTAGATTTTCAATCGTTTCTGGGTTGCATTATTAAACTATAAGACATTATATTTTCACTTTTTGATATATGAAATGAAATGCAAGGAGGCTTAACATCCTACTTTTTTGCATCAACTGGGTTTATTTGGGAAATTTTGCCTCGAGAGTAGCATTTCTGGATTCTATTCATTGAATCTTAATTGCCAGGGCTTGGTAGGGCTTCATTCTTGCACTGCTGACAAGGCAGAAAACAAGCTGGAAAATCCTGCAGTACATGACTACGAACACCGGGATCAGACCCTGGACCTGGTTACTGAGCTAGCACAACACTCCTCAAGCCATTATGGCTCCTTTTTTATATTACTTATGATCACTCTGCTGAAACAACAATTGAATTGCATAGCATTTATCCTGCCAAGTATCGAAATTAACGCAGTTAAACATATTGTATTATGAACTAAATCTAGAAGTCTCCCTATTTCAAGAAGTTCAAAACAAAGTTTTCTAACCTCATCACTATCATCACCAAATATATTCTTTGCTTTAGGAAGAACAGCCGTGACTCCCTTTTTAGGCAAAAATAATCCATATCTAAAAAGAGAAAAAAAATGTCCAAATTGTCGAAAGAATAAGTATACCAAGTCTAATGTTGATCACACTTGAATTCAAAAGCTGTAAACATTTTTTGGAAGAGTGTTGTCTCAGGAAGTCAACCAGGTGTATGGGAAACTTCCTTGTTCAAAAGGAATGAAATAAATATGATATAGAAGTCAATGAAAAACAGTGGAACAAATCTGGCATTCAATGACTTTATGAAAGGTACATTTAAGTAAACTAGGTTTTTTTTCCATTTCCTGTATTCATACATGTCCATAATCAGTTAAAGTAGTAAAAGAATCTTAACATTTGACCTAAAGTCCTCTTAATATCTGATGATCATGCACAATGCCATATGTACCGGACCGACAGAATATCCCATTTGTTTCAAAAATACAAAACAACATTTTGCTTGTTACCCAGTCTTTAAGTTACATTATGTTCTGTATATTTGATATATGGTTCATGTTTACAGTACATAATAAATTGAAAAGTTTTAAAACAATTCATAATAAAATATACCACAGATTATTCACAGATGTCAATACATAACAGCCAATAACATAATGTCCACTTGACACAAACTAGGTCATTTCGGGACTAACATATGGTTTAATTTAATTCAATAATTCCCTTGCACGTAGGGGTCTTTAGCAGTGGGAGGAAACCGGAGGACCTGGAGAAAACCCACAAGGTTGGACAGGCGACCCGACCATACTCCTCGTCACGTACAACCGGGGATTCGAAACCACGCCAGTTGACTCAATGACTCTCCTATTGAATCTGTGTTAAAAATCTAATGGCTTCCCAGTCAATTTTACATGGCATCTTTTTACTGTTAAACGGTCGCGTGTCATTCCCTGTGAACGCCCGAACAATATAAATGAACACCTTAATGAGAAAATAAGACCTTGCTTACTTTGCTAGAACCAGTATGAGCAACACAACAGGCTGTTAAAAAATATGTCTCCGTCTTCTAACTGACTTGGCAGACTTCATTGAAGGTTACGCACAAATTTACGAACTCAGCCATATAAAATGAAATGAAATTTAGGTAAGCCTGGTGGAAAATATTGGGATTTTTGAATGAATTTTATTGTAAATTATTGTAATTTGACTAGGCAAAGCAATAAATGATTGAAGATTCTCACCTTTTCAAAGATTTCAATATTTTTCTCCCAGACATACCTAAATATCGTTTCATCTTATATATGGCCAAGTTCGTAAATTTGTGCGTTACCCTTTCAATGAAGTTTGCCAAGTCGGTTAGAAGACGTATTTTTTAACAGCATGTTGTGTCGCTCATACTGACTCTAGCGAGGTAAGCCAGGTCTTAGTTTCTCACTAAGATGTTCCTTTACATTGTACAGGTGTTCACACGGATTGACACCCCACCGTTTAGCAGTAAAAAGTTGCACAGTAAGATTGACTGGGGCGGATCTCAGTTTCGCAAGGATTCAATAGGAGATCAGAGCTTCTGAATGTACAGGTCGAGTGTAATGAGACCTACGTTCAGAGCTGAACTATGGAAATATATGTTATAAATATATTTGTTCATTTTTTTTATATATATCACTGCAAGTGCAATGAATAATATGGACCATGACTATCCGTATTAGATTTGTAATCTATGGTGAGTAGACTGCATTTAGAGGGCAACGTTTACAAACCGTTTTCTGGTGTTTTAGTTTTACTTTTTTTTATTTGTTGTTTAAAAGTTCAGACTCGGATAAATTCAAGGAATCAACAGATTCGTAAGTTTTAGCGGTACCCAGTCTTGCCCCAGTGTAAAATATATATGCACGGTCAATATTGTTACAGATTTCCATATCTAACACAGCATTTAGTAATAAAAACAATGTTTTATTTACTTACTTTTTATTTTCCGCCGCCATGCTGGATGTCAGAGTTACTTCCCTTGGCGCATGAACGGGGAGATAATTCAGTAAATAATGCCACGCCCCCGGAAAACCTGTAAATAGATGGCTTGTTTTATAGTCTGTTTTTATGTTTATGAACGATTAAAGCTGGGTACAATATGTCAAAAACATTGGGCAGTGCCATTCCAGCTTTAAAACAACAAGATTTAGGTAAGCGGAGAGCTGATATTACCCCAACTGCCACTCCACCAGTCTTAGCCTCTCGCCACTCTCGGGGATTAATGCTGTCTGCTATATCTTCTAACTTGATTCTGAATTGGGTATGGATTACTATGTCAGACAGTTGTGTCAAGACTACTACGTCCTGACAACGTTTAGTCGTTCGGGTGAGACGAAAAGCCGAGGTCCAGTGTACACATTGGCGTAGACGTTAAAGATCCCTTTGCAGCTGGAATTCGACATAAGAGTAGGCCGTAGCGCCACTGCCCGGGCAAAATTCCCCTCATAGCAAACTGTATGGCGTATACCCGACTTCATTATCCCAGTCGAAGCAGAACAGTAGGACGTTAAACCCTATTTCATTTCTGTCCATCTCAGGTCATCCGACCACAGCTCAATGTAGACTGAATTCTGGCTAATCCGACATCTAATGACGAAAAGATATGCTCGTCAGATCGCTACTTTTCTCGAATCGACTCGACTACTGTATTAATCTACTCTGTGGTATCCATTAGAACCGGAAAAATAATCAAATTGTGCAATATCCTGCAGCAAAGATCGTATGCTGTTTGTAAAGGAGTTGCACTGGCTACAAGCAATCACCCACAGAACCCATTTCAACCTTCTATGTATTGCCCACAATTGTTTAAAAGGGAACAGTCCCATCCATTTGAGTCTTACTATAAATAGCAGCTGCGACACTTGTCCAGGGGCGCGGGGCCTAGGGGGACCTGGCGAGGTATGTCGAGTAATGCTGTGTGTATATATTTCTATGGTATAAATTAACAAAACAGTACACTAACCGTTACTTGAACGTAAATTGGAAGAGAACTGGTGACTGTGGGTACCTAGGTTGCGTTGGTTGGATAGAAACGGATTCTATCAATCCCCTTTTTTGGAAAGATTTGGTCTTCGTTTCGTTTGAGGCTCCAGTCACCGTCAGGTCCCCATCCGTTTAAACCCAGATCAACATGATTTTGGGTATTGAAACAAATAAACGAATAGTTTATGTGATGAAATAATGTTCTTGTTGTTATTTTTGGCGGTTTTTGTTTTTCCACTCTTTTATTGTTTAGTCGTGTCGAAATCATGTACATCTAATTAGTATTACTTGGGATGTGTTGTAATAAATATCAGTTTCTGTGTTTCAGCAAACGAACTTCCTGTTACTCCAGATCTATGCCAAAATGACGCTAGAGACCATGGATTTTTCAAAAGGTGTCGACCCCGACCCATCCGACACCGTCGCGAGCCCTAATAAATAGTAAACTATAAAGAAGATCTGAACCAACCGGCTCACCCCGTTATTTATTTATTTATTTGCTGTGCTAAGTTCACTGTCAGTCATGTCTGTTTGGCATTAGCGTCGTGTCAATAAACACAGTATGTTTTTAACCAACAATTTGAATTTGTTTCAGGTTTAACCATTGGTGTTCTATCCAGTTTAATACTCTTATATATAATCTTAGCCGTAATGATTTATAAACCAAGAAAAACTAACAGTCAATCGTCAGCTCAACGACTACGCGACCCTTTGAATTATAGCAGACAATATTCCTCTGTGGAAAACTCAATAAACGTATCAAGTTAAAGCCATACAGTAAAACTTCATTATGACGAACATCATTGATCCAAGGTTCGAGTAAGACAATTCCTTCTACCGTCAACAATACAGTCATGCATCGTTATGAAGAAGACCATCGATCCGCGTATCTTTATTCGAGCTAAACACTGTTCGAGTAAGACAATTCCTTTGAAACGTGTATCATACAGTTATATCTCGATATGTCGAAGATTAGGACTCACGCATTTTATTCAAAATACGCAAGGTTTAAGTCGTACGTAACTAACGTTCGAAAACTAAATGGTAGGTGTGATAGCTATCATCTCAGCAGGCGGCGTGTCTCTGATTTTCAGACTGGGTTTAAGTAAGACCATGTTTTCAAATTTTGTACGTCTGGAATGGAAGACAACTAGGTGAACATGAAAGTATGACATCCTTCAACTTTAAATGTATTTTAATTTTAGGCGCAATATCAAGTGATTATATTGACGATGGAGAGAGAGAGAGAGAGATATCATTATATTATATCATTATATTCACGGGGGGGGGGGGCATAATTTCTATAAATTGTCGTAATCCCTTTGTTAATTATTTGCAATAAAATATGTTATAACTAGTAGTAGTAATAGTAGTCGAATACAATGTTTTGAGAGGCATGAATGTAAAAGAATTACCTTGATTGTTGGAATTCGAAACCAGATTAGGCCGCAGCACCGCTGTTCGGGCAAAATGTCCCTGATAGCAAACTGCATGGCGCACACCCGTCGTCATTAGCCCAGCAGTAGGAGCAGCCCAGTAGGACGTTATACCCCTATTTCATTTTCATTTCATTTATATACGGTGGTCTGAATCCATATACCCCAATCTAAAGTAAAACGGGGCTTGTATACGTGATAAATACATTTCGTTAATATAGGTCAGACCATTAGGACTCTCTGTATTATGGTGGTCAATACTTGATACAACAAGTTAGTATTTGGCAATATACAAACGGCATTGCGCAATGGAAACTTTCTATTCTTCGTGTGAGCGAGCTCTAACAGTGTGGATTTGATTTTGTTAAGAGTATGAAGTTACCTGTATCAGGTGGCGTACTGCCCTATGTAAACAAACATACAGGTCTATTAATAGAGATATACACTACAGGTATACAATACACCCTAAAGATGATTATTGTGTCATATATAAAAGGGGCGTTGGGGTAACTTCGTGGTTGTAAAACTTACTGGATTGAAAGTTAAACTAAAGTAAGTAACTTAAAGCATTTTGATATTAGAAAATGATATGTATGGCGATATATTAGAATCAAAATTCTAACGTGCCAGTCTCTCCGCCATATAAACGGTATCTCCTGATTAGCGACCCAGCGCTTAAGACACTAAAATATCGAGTAAAAAAATAAGTGTTCACTACAGTTATAAGAAGCAGGATTTGCCCGGATGACCATTGGTGCTGTTTTAAAATTTATTTGTACCTTATGTAAGAACTAACTCTACCTAATGCAGATTATAATTTAAACCATTTGTTAACATGACAATCGCATAATTAACTCTCTGGACAATCGGATGGCTACGAATTCAAGTAGATTAGAACACAACAGTCATTTTAGTGTTGAAAAGATAAAATAGATAATTTGCGTTACATGTTAGTGTTGTTTTAAAATTTATTTGTACCTATTTAATAATTCAAGTCGCTGAACATCATTTGGGAGATTTGTTAATTAATCCCTTAGAAACTACAATATTGGACAGCTGGGTCTTGTAAGGAAATATCAGCCCAAACGTGGCTCAATTCCGTTTAGTATTTAAAAAGATATAATGACTTAACAATTTGTTAGCATTCGGCATCCACTGAACACCATAAAGGAAAGGTGATTTAATCCAAGCCCCGCGCTATCTAATATTTTCGCTGAACTAGTTTTATTCTGATTGAATCCAAGACAGAAGATTATCTATCGCTAATATTTTGATTTTATTAAAGGGGCATTAGGTAATATTAGATACAGAACTGACAGGTCTCGCTATAATAGTTTTAAAAAATAGATAATGAAAACAGAATATGCTGAAAATTTCAGTCAAATTGCTTCACTCTGAACCGAGATATTGGCGATTCAATTTTAGGCTAGCCTCGATCGTTATTACTAACGTTGGTACGATAATAAACAAAGTCTCGATTATTAAGTTAAATTATCCATCACAAAATGTATTCAAATCCACTAAATATCGCTGGCTAACAATGGCATCGAGAGTTGATTATGGTCTGGATAAGTTAATTAATGTCTAATTAATAATTTAGATAATATTTCAGACTTAAAGAAAGACTTGCAATAGGCAAATTTAGCTCTTGCATAATATATATATGTTTAAATATTAAATACTCAATCTGAATACATAGTGTAACGGTGGAAAACTTGATATTTCCCACAAAAGGAAATCACGCCAGAGATTTTAATTTACGACCGTTGTCAATTTTATAGGTCAAGAAACAAATAAATATGACGAAACCAGAAAAGTTAACACTACAAGATTTCAGAGACAGGTAATTATAAAGTTTGATCTGTAACCGGATATCTTGATGGATACTCGATTGGATGGTGCGGAAATAAATTCCTACAATCCCAGGAAAGTGACAATCGCTTGAAAACGAGAATTTCGGACGACCAGGTGGATGGGGGGGGGGGAGAGATTTGACACCCACTTGACACAAACCAGGTAAATTTCGGGACTAACATATGGTTCAATTTTATTTCAATAATTCGAAAGCGCGTAGGTGTCTTTAGCAGTGGGAGGAAACCGGAGGACCTAAAGAAAACACGCGAGGTTGGACAGGCGACTCTACACCTTGTCACGTACACGCGGGGAATCGAAACTACGTCACTTGACTCAGTGACAGACCTTATGGTCAAACGCGCACGCGTTAACCATTCGGCGCCCCCCTCTTCCCCGGCTAAAAGATGGCGCATGACGGAGCGCAAGACAAGGTACTATTCGCGCCACATCCATTATCGGAACTGGAAGACCGTAGAAGTGAGAATCTTGGGTAATAAATACACACTGGAATTACCCTTTAAACTGTTTAATACCGGAAAACATCAAATATAATCTACATAGAGCATATTCGGTAGGCAGTTACTGTTCTGTGTATATTATATTTAATGTTTTAGTTACCATATTGTTTGTTTACATACTGATAGATTATAAGATTAATGCCATATAGGTAACAGGTCTTCATATAATATAGACCAAAATGAGTCAGTTATGAGAACCTTTCTACAAACCTTCATTAGGAGATCAACTTCAGATCACATTCCTAAGGATAATCTTTATATACATGTACCTGTATTTAAATATTTGGAGACAGACTTTTATGCCAATTCCCATATTTATATTGGAGACTATCTACTCACATTAATTGTGTGCTGTACTTTATGGTGAGTAATTGTTAACTACAGAATATAGAAATATTAACTATCAAGAATGTTCATTGTTTCATTTATTCAACCACGAACATTCGAGAAACTATACAAGAAACCCACTTGTACAGAATGTTGACAAAATTCATTTCTTTATCAACCTAATGAATTTCCGTCAATTCAGTTTCGAGCAGCCCCTTAGGTGTTTTCTGGATCAAAAATATTATGGGCAAAATGGGGTTTCAATATCCCTAGTATCCTGACAACTAAGAATATAGTAATCAAGGGAGCTTAAGCTGTTTTATTAAAATATGGACGTCCTCCATTTTGTGAACCAAAACAATATGTATTCGTATAATCTATTCTATCAATAATACCGTTGATCTTGATAAATATATTTAAATTTGATTCTCCTTCACAGGCTGATGGCGGCTGTTGGAAATGAGGACGAGAAGCTAACTAAGGAACTCCAGAAACAGACCATAAATTGTACTTACGAGTGGCACATCGAAGTAATCTTAGAAACTGCAAGAAACGCCTGTGTGGTAGCGTTGGAAAAATCTAATCTATCTCTGACTAAAATTGTATTCGCTAAAAAGCTGGTATTTGTTGACGACAAACTATGCCCAACATATAACCAGAAACTGGTCGATGCGGCCATTACTTCAGATTTTGTTGATGGCCTACGATTTTTGGAGACCCAGGGGCTGGTATTTGAATGTCCAATGTGGAATGCTTTGCGTGAAAGTGTTGAAAAGGGTAAAATATCAATAGTGGGGTATCTGCTCGATATCCCTGGAATAAAGTTGCATCTAAAATTCCCATTCGACAAAACCTTGATATCCATTGCCGCCAGTAAATGTGACATAAAGATGCTCAGCATCCTTTTAAATTCTAAGGCTAAAGATTTTATCAATTACACGTGTAGTACGAAAGGATATGCGGCCCTTCATCATTGTTTAGTAGCTGGTCCTAAAAATGCTGATTATTTTGATTGTGTTAAATTGTTGGTTAAGAACGGAGCCGATGTTAATCTTGATGAAAAAAAGGATAAGAGACGATCGCCGTTGTTAATGGCCGTTGAGTATAATTTGTTGGATGCAGTGTTGTTTCTGATAGATGCAGGGGCTGATGTAACGGATCCCGATTCGGCGAGAAAAACACTTCTACATTATCTGGCTGAGAATCGGACAAGCTTTGGTGCAAACCCTGTGAACACTTGCATTGAAAGGTTAGTTAATGAGGGACTGAATATAAATACCCTTTTTATGGCAGTCCTAAACTGGAAGCATGACGTTGCAAGAGCCTTGATACAACACGGTGCTGCGATGAACATGAAGCAAGGAGAGACTTCTTGGACTGCTGCTGCTTTAACAATGGCATTCCGTATTTGAAATCCCATGACGGTTTGTAGAAAGGTTCTCCTAAATGACTCATTTTGGTCTATACATGAAGACCGGTTACTCATGGCATTAATCTTATAATCTATCAGTATAAAAACAAACTATATGGTAATTAACAATCTAGATCGTAGATGTTAATTACAATTTATATGATATATAAGAAAAGTGTAAAACAAAGAATACTGGAAACAGGCGGTTAGGGAATTATACAAAGACAATACGATACAATGTAACACCATGGGATGGGTCTTCTGTCAGACGTAGAGAGCGGGCGATCCCAAACCAGTCGCCACATCCTACGTACGACCCATCCATCTTTTCTTACTACATATCTTAGTAGTCTTGTGGTCGTCTAGAATTGTTTAGCTGTCTTTGCTTCCCCTGCATGTTGTGTATTTACTTCTTAGTTATAACAATGCAACAGTTCGTTTTTACATTTTATATATCAAGCTGGATACATATACACATTGTATAGATTACAATACTAAAGTTATTCTCAAACATTAGCCAGCCAGACTCGTTGGTGCGAGTTTGCTGATAAAAATTGCTACATCGTTTCCCTTCTGGAAATCGTAACAAATTATAAACAGATCATAAATTAAAGCATCTAAAATAAAAAAATATTAAAGTTAACCATCCTAAATTTGGCATAAAATACAAATCGATAATAAATTGATTTTCGGTCTTTTGCACGTGATTAAAATAATCAAATTCGCTTGTTCAAACTCAAATCAGTATCACTTGAATGAATTTCTGTCAATTCATATTCGAGGACCCCGTTGGGTGTACATTGAATCCCAACGATTACAGGTAAAAGGAGTTCCAAAATCCCTCGTATCCCAACATCTAAAAATATAGTAACAATGGGTAGTTTTAACAAAACGCGGACGTCCTCCATTTTGTAAAACAAAAACAATTTGTATTAGTATAATCGGTATTCAATAATACCGTTGTTCTTGTTAAATATATGACGGGTTGGATGGCTGAATGGTTAAAGTCTGTCATTGAGTCGACTGGCGTGGTTTCGAATCCCCGGTTGTACGTGACAAGGAGTAGGGTCGCCTGTCCAACCTCGTGGGTTTTCTCTGGGTCCTCCGGTTTCCTCCCACTGCTAAAGACCCCTATGCGCAAGCGAATTATTGAAATAAAATTAAACCATATGTTAGTCCCGAAATGACCTAGTTGTGTCGAGTGGATGTTAAACCTCATTTCTCTCTCTCTCTGATAAATATATTTCAATTTTATTCTCTTTCACAGGTTGATGGCTGCTGTTGGAAATGAGGACGAGAAGTCAACTAAGGAAATCCTGAAACGGTCCATAAATATTAATAAGGAGTCGGACAGGGAAGAAATATTAAAAACTGCAAGAAACGCCTGTGTGGTAGCGTTGGAAAAATCTAATTTATCTCTGACTAAAACTGTATTCGCTAAAAAGCTGGTATTTGTCGACGACAAACTATGTCCAAAATATAACCAGAAAATGATCGATGCGGCCATTACTTCAGATTTTGTTGGTGGCCTACGATATTTGGAGAACCAGGGACTGGTATTTGAATTTCAAACATGGAATGCTTTGCGCGTAAGTGTTGAAAAGGGTAAAATATCAATAGTGGGATATCTGCTCGATATCCCATGGATAAAATTGAATCTAAAATCCCCGTTCGACAAAACATTGATAGCCATTGCTGCCAGTAATTGTGACATGAAGATGCTCAAAATCCTTTTAAATTCTAAGGCTAAAGATTTTATCAATTACACGTGTAGTACGAAGGGATATGCTGCCCTTCATCATTGTTTAGTAGCTGGTCCTAAAAATGCAGATTATTTTGATTGTGTTAAATTATTAGTAGAGAATGGAGCCGATGTTAATCTTGCTGAAAAAAAGGATGAGAAGAGACGATCGCCATTGTTATTGGCCATTGAGTATAATTTGGTGGATGTAGTATTGCTTCTGATAGATGTAGGGGCTGATGTAACAGATCGTGATTCAAAGAGAAACACGGCTTTACATTATCTGGCTGACAGGCGGCCAAGCTTTGATGCAATCTCTTTGAACACTTGCATTGAAAGGTTAGTTAATGAGGGGCTGGATATAAATACCATGAATAGGTCGCGTAAAACAGCCCTTTTTATGGCAATCGAAAAATGGAAGCATGATGTTGCGAGAGCCTTGATAAAACACGGTGCAGAGTTGAACATGAAGCAAGGAAAACCTCCGGGGACTGATACTGCTTTTACGATTGCATTCAGAATTAGAAACCCTGTTGGTATCAAAATCCTGATGGATGCCGGATGCGAAATTGACGATTTAAAAGAGAGAGGACTGGCATATTTAATGAAGGCTGTTAAAAATGGATGGGCAGGCGTAGTTCAAGGACTGACAGAGCGCGGTGTGGATGTCCACGCCCCTGATGAAAACGGCCACGATGCGCTGTATCATTGTTATAACGAAAGGGATTGCAATTTAGGACAGATGTTGCCCTTTTTGGAAAGTGTAGGCTTTAATGTACTTGAAGATGATTCTGGTGAGACATTCCTTAATTTAGCCATTGGTCGACTTGACTTAGATGCCATCGATTTTCTAGTTAAACGTAAAGTGAATGTCAGTCAAATAAGTGCCCGTGGTGAAAGCATGCTTCATCGTCTTGCTTCGGGAAAGGCTGAACGCGAAGATTTACAACGTTTATTTGAGTATGGAATCGACGTGAACCAGAAAGAAACCAAGGAGGGATCAACAGCTCTCAGGAATGCCGCGACCAGGGGTAATGTAAGGTTTGTTAAATGTTTGATCAAAAATGGTTGTGATATAAACATTTCTGACAACTACGGAACAACGGCCGTGATAAAAGCCGCCATAGAGATGAAAAAGATAACTCTCAAGCTATTGTTAAAATCAGGAGCGGACGTCAATCTTCTGAACCACAATGGTCAACCAGCTGTAAATTATTTAGATATGTCCAAACCTGCCGACTATATAGACTGCTTGAAATGGATTCTTCATTTTGGGGGAGGAAAAAGCGTTCAATTTCCTGATCGTGCAGGCTTAACATTACTAGAAAGGCTGGTACATCGTCCATTTATTGAACCCATCTGGTATATGATAACTGCTAACTGTAACTTTCAACCACTGGTGAATAGAGCGCCACCAAAGACATTGGACCAAACCTTTTTGCCAATAGCAAAAGCCCTCTATGAAAGCGGGTTTGTGTCCCGTGAAATAGCTAAACTCCTTGAAGAGAAAACCAAAGAGGAATTTCAAGAATATGTGACAAACAGATTTACTCTAAAATCCGTATGTAGACGAAGTATAAGAACCTACCTGGGATTGGGGATAACGGAAAAGGTTCAACAACTGCATATTCCCTCTACAGTAAAGGATTATCTACTGATGAAATCGATAATACCAGTAGAATATTCAAACTTGGCTGATGGTGTTGAACTTGACGAAGATGAGGAACCAAAACATGTTTTCATACCAAGTGCAGAGTTTTTAAAGTATATGTAAACGCATATTACTTGAAATTTTTATATTTGATTTTATTCTCATGTTATTGTTTCAAGTTTGCTAAAATAAATTGTATAGTTTACATGTATATATATAGCCTATTATGTATGTACGTATCTGTAGAATATTCAAACCTGGCTGATGGTGTTGAACTTGACGAAGATGAGGAACCAAAACATGTTTTCAAACCAAGTGCAGAGTTTTTAAAGTTTTTTTAAGCCTAAATGATATGATCTCTTCCAAAGTTGATGTAATTCCCAATTTTGAGTGAAAGAACACCTGATGTCAAATTACTTTATTCTATGTGAGTTTATCATAGAGACTGGACTTGACAACCGAGACTAAGTCGCGATTATCCATTGTATCGTTAAATTTATAAATCTATTTAAATCTCGGCCATCCAGTGTTCTAGAGAGTTAATTGTAGGTGTGTCATGTTAATAAATGCCTAAAAAATTTTTTAAAAAACATTTGAAGCCAAAATAAAGACCTGCTAAATCTTGAGTTAGCTCTTACACAATGCATCGTTAATACCTGAATAAACTTCCGGAAATTAATGCCGATTCCGACTGTTGTAAATACCCAATTTGTCTGCAGTACACCATGTCAAGGCCGATTTATATGACCTGGGAAATTGGGGCAGAGCTTAGAATCGGCGTTTTGGATTAAAAAAATAGGTATTTTCTTTTGTTTGCCTAATGTCGACCAAATGATTGGATGTTGTATAGAATCAAAAGTCCCACCACCTAACACATACTCCTCGCAATGTTTCGTTTGATTATAGAGGGATTTCGCGGGCCATTGCTTTAGGAATATGCATCTAACCTAGCCATCTGCTCTTATGGGCATGTACTTTCAAATAATACAATGTAGCCTAGTATATACACTCGACACAAATAAACATATGGTTCAATTTTATTTCTATAATTCGCTTGCGCTTAGGGGCCTATAGCGGTTAGACGGGCGAACCTAGTCATTGTAACGTATAAGCATGGTGAAATTATCCTACTGGGATAATGAAGACGGGCTTACGCCATACAATGTGCTATTGAAATAAAATTTCCCGGACAGCGGCGCTACGGCCTACCCTATTATCGAATACCAATGTCAACATAGGACCTAGACTAGACAACTGTCCTTGTCAGGCCCTCCGTCCTGCACCGCTGACAAGGGGAAACTACGCCGGAAAATCCCGATGAACTTACTAGGCCAATACGGGATCGACCCCTGACCTCCCGGCTAAGAAGCTAGAGTCTAACCCTACAAGCAGGGAATCGGAACCACGCCTATTGACTCATTGCTAGACTTTATGGATTGACGCAAACGCGTTAAGCCACTTGACACAGTATGTGGTGATATTTGGTAGTATTTAATTAGTATCGTCATGTCGCTCGGTGGGTAAGGCGATGGCTCACTAACCATGTCCAGAGTTACACCTGACTTCCCAGCATGGTGTCCTCTTGCCAGTAGTTGTAGACGTGGTTGGGAGAGGTGGGGTTCTGACAGAGAAAAGTGTCTATTCGTTTGGTTTGGACAACAAACCGATTTTCTGGAGTTCTGTCTTCTATCAGTGGTGTAAAACTAGCGTCTAGTCGTTCAGGTGTTACAGAAAAAAAAACCGAGGTTCTGTGTCCACGTTGGTATACACGTTAAAGACCCCGTGACAGTTCCCTGAAGGCGTCGGTTGATGCTTTCATTGGGTCGTAGATCCCTTGCGTGCGGTACTGGAAGCTTTCGCTGGTATGTATGCAGCCCAGAATACGTCAAAATTTTCATTTCACTTATTTATTTACGTAATACCTTTCTCTTGAGGTCATAAATATTCTGGTGTTGTGATACTGTTTCCTCTGAGTATGTTCCAAATATCAAATTAGTGTTCAAATTAGTTGTTTAATTATAAATAATATATCTTCTAGTTAGACAATATTCTTCAAATTGTCGGATTTTGAATTTTGAAGAACTGTTTATGTAAATTAATAATCCTTCATCAGATTTTCCGAACAAGTACTACCGACTATGTATGGCGTGCATTAATTGCCAAAGATAAAAAAAAAATCAATATTTCGAAACAATATAGAAAATGTACTACAGTAGATTAGAGGTTTTTGCTTATCACATATAGTATATTTAAAAGTGTTTAGAGAGAGAGAGAGAGAGAGAGAGAGAGAGGGGGGGGGGAGTAACGTCCACTCAACACAAACCAGGTAATTCCGGGACTAGCATATGGTTCAATTTTATTTCAATAATTCGCTTGTGCGTAGCGGTCTTTAGCAGTGAGAGAAAACCAGAGGACCCGGAGAAACACCACGAGGTTGGACAAGCGACCCTACTCATTGTCACGAACAACCGGGGAATCGAAACCAGGCCATTTGACTCAATGACAGACCTTATGATGCAACGCACACGCGCTAACATTTCGGTCAGCCAATCTCCCGAAAAACCGAGGTCCCGTGTACACATTGACATGCACGTAAAAGAACCTTTGATAGTTGGAATTCGAAATAATATCTCTCATAGCAAATTACATGGCGCATGCCTGTCTTCATTAGCCTAGTCGGAGTAGAACAGTAGATCGTTAAACCCCATTTCATTTCATGTTATTTCTATACGGTGGTCTGAATCCATATATCTAAATCGAAAGGAAAAAGGGGTTTGTGTAAGTGTATAAATATATTTCGCTAATATAGGTCAAGTCATTACGGCTATTCGTATGATGGTGGTTGATACCTGGTACAATGAGTTAGTATTTAGCAATGAGACTTTCCATACTTCATGTGAGCTGTAAGCATTAGATTATATATTGAACAGTGTGGATTTGATTTTGTTAGAGTATGAAGTTACCTGTATCAGGTGGCGTACTGCCCTATGTAAACAAACATACAGGTCTATTAATAGAGATATACACTACAGGTATACAATACACCCTAAAGATGATTATTGTGTCATATATAAAATGGGCGTTGTGGTAACTCCGTGTCGTGTTGTAAAACTTATTGATTGGAAAGTAAAACTAAAGTAAGTACTATAATACATTTTGACATTAGTAAATGGTATTAACTTAGGACTTACTTTTCTGTATCACGCGATCTAATGAAGAAGGGCATAATTCATACAGTTTGCTATGCGGGACACTTTGCTCGGACAACGCAGGGATCGAACACGGTTACCGAGCCAAAGTCCTACTCACTGAGCCACCGTGACTCTCGCCACAGTATAGAAATAGACTTAAAAAAATGTTGTTTTACGTGCTTGCCAATTTGTATACGGACCTCGATTTTTTGCCCCATCAGAACAACTAAACACTGGTCCTTGCTAGGCCCTCCGCCATAAACGGTATCTGCTGATTAGCGACCCAGCGCTTACGTCACCACAGATCCTTGATCTAAATATATCGAGTAACAAAAATAAGAGTTCACTACAATTTTTCGGATAATTATGGTTGCTGTTTATTTGTGCCTAATTAAAGATGCATTATTAAAGTGCTAAATCTGTCTATTGCAGGTCTTCACATGATATATATAAATTATTATTTAAACCATATATTAACATGACAAGCGCATAATTAACTCTCTGGACCATTGGATGACCCCGAATCCAGGTAGATTAAAACACAGCGGCAATTTAAGTGTTGAAACGATAAAATAGATCATCTACGTTACGTTTTATTTGTACCCATTTCACAATTCAAGTCATTGTTATTCCCCCCTTAGAAACTACAATATTGGAGCAGCTGGGTCGTGCAAGGAAATGTCAGTCCCAACGTGGCTCAATTTCGTTCAGTATTTATAGAGATAAGACGAGTTAACAATTTGTTAACATTCGGCATTCACTGCACACGATAAAGGAAAGAGGATTTAATCCAAACCTCGCGATATCTAATAGTAATATTTTCGCTAAACTCGTTTTACTCCGATTGATTCGGGAGTCGGGAGATTATCTATCGCTAATATTTTAATTTTATTAGATGTTAAATACTCAATTTAATTTGAGTACACGTTGTAACGATTAAGCTCTAGAAAAATTAATATTTCCCACAAAAGCAAATGATACACAGAGATTTTAATAGGAACCTTTAACAATTTTGTAGATCAACAGACAAATAAATATGACGAAACCTGACAAGTTAACAATACAAGATTTCGAGGAAAGGTAACTTATAATTTGCTTAATAAATTATAACCGAGTATCTCGAGGGATACTCGATTTGATGTAGCGGAAATGAATTCCTTAATCCTAAGAAATTGGCAATCTTTTAAACACGAGGATTTCCGGCCACCAGGTCTGTGTAACATCGTCCGTTTTTTTTTAATGTGTCATGGTCCTCCTATTCGCTTGCTAGATAGTCTGAAGGTCTCGGGTTCGCTTCCGGTGTTGGCTGAGAAAGTTTCTCGGATTTTCAGGCGCGGTTTCCCCCTTGTCAGCGGTGCAGGATGGGGAGCATGACAAGGTCCATTATCGCAACCGGAAGACCGTAGAAGTTGAGAATCTTCGGTAATAAATAAACACTGAAATAATCCTTTAAACTGTTTAATACCGGAAAACATCGAATATAATATAGCCAGAACAGCACGTCCTACAGACAGAGTGGTTTAACCCAATTCTGTATCACTCGAATGAATTTTTGTCAATTCACTTCAGAACACCACCTTGGGTGTATATTGAATGCCAACAATTACAGGTAAAAGGGATTCCAATATCACTGGTATCCTGACAACCATGGGAGCTTAAGCTGTTTTATTAAAATGCAGATGTCCTGTATTTTGTAAAAAAAAAAACAACAAAAAACACATGCAATATTATTATCAATGATGTCAATAATACCATTTTTCTTGATAAATATATTTAAATTTTATTCTTTTTCATAGATTGATGGCTGCTGTTGGAAATGAGGACGAGACGCTAACAAACGATATCCTAAAACGGTTCATAAATATTAATAACGAGTCAGACAGGGAAGTAATCTTAGAAATTGCAAGAAACGCCTGTGTGGTAGCGTTGGAAAAATCTAATTTATGTCTGACTAAAATTGTATTCGCTAAAGAGCTAGTATTTGTCGACGACAAACTATATCCAAAATATAACCAGAAACTGATTAATGCGGCCATTACTTCAGATTTTGTTGGAGGCCTACGATTTTTGGAGACCCAGGGACTGGTATTTGAATTTCCAACGTGGAATGCTTTGCGCGAAAGTGTTGAAAGGGGTAAAATATCAATAGCGGGGTATCTGCTCGATATCCCTTGGATAAAGTTGCATCTAAAATTTCCGTTCGACAAATCCTTGATAGCCATTGCTGCCAGTAATTATGACATGAAGATGCTCAGCATCCTTTTAAATTCTAAGGCTAAAGATTTTATCAATTACACGTGTAGTACGAAAGGATATGCTGCCCTTCATCATTGTTTAGTAGCTGGTCCAATAAATCCTGAATATTATGATTGTTTTAAATTATTAGTAGAAAATGGAGCCGATGTTAATCTTGCTGAAACAAAGGATAAGAGACGATCGCCATTGTTAATGGCCGTTAAGTATAATTTATTGCATGCAGTGTTGTTTCTGATAGATGTAGGGGCTGATGTAACGG